TCGATACAACCGGCTGTTGCACTACATCTTGAGGGTTATTCTGAAGATTAATATTATCTACAGGAGGACCCGATATACTAGATAAAGCATTACCACTCCTTAATTGCATGCAAAATGCCTAGAAAAAGCTCTCTTAATAATAGACTACTAATTTCAAATGTCAAGAAAAAAAGAAGAAATCTATCACAAACTAGGGAAATTAGCACATGTTTCACCGGGTGTGCCAATTTGGTTACCTTAAAAAATGGTAAACAACCGCTGGTTCTTAAAAATACGGGTTACTTGCAAGATCAACCAGTGAATTCTAGAAAATTGTTATCGATTTCTTCGTATTTTAGATGGATGGACTTCGACTTGGTTGAAGGAAAGTGTTGGTTTTATATTAAGTTGACAACTTTGTCTATTGCAAGAAATTAATAGTAAAGCGAAAAGACTGAAAACTTTAAAGAAAGATTACAAGCTTGAATCAAAATGAAAAATAAAATGAAGCATAAATCAAACAAATCAGATAAACTTCATTGAAAGTAAAAATCTGGTGTTTCATATATGTTCTTACATCCTCTAGCCAATTCGCTCGTTTCTCTCAACATTGATACTTTGAGTTTTTAGTAAGACTTTTGTAATACAATTGAACACCCCTAATTCAACATGATGAACTACTATATATACAAGTGTGAAAATAACTACTCATAACGCTTCTTTCATCAGATCTCGCCACGTGAAGCTCTGCAAGTAACTTCTCTTCAAAAATCCCTCCATGCGTCTCATCAGGAATAAACATTAAGGCAATTATTGATATTTGAACGCGGTACTGTGCACCCAAATAACTGTCTCGTCGATCACTTTGTTGTTGTCGCGCAGGCTGCGTGGGCGATGAAACTTCTTACTCGAACGTTTCTCACAATAAAAAAAATCTTCTAAGTCCATATTTTTGGTCGAACTAAGAACCCTCCAAGACTGCCTTTCTTTGTTGGGTTTCTTTCACTGGCTAAAAGTCCTAGCTAACACTGGACTAACTAGATTGCCTATGCTTTTGATTCTTCGCCTAGCTCTATCGCCAAAGGTGACTTAACTGTTAGAGCGGGGCTTCAACTCTTCAAGATAATTCTTTTCACCAATCATGTTCCTTGAGCATTCACTATCAAATTATCAATCTTCTCTCAGTCTCAAGTGTATAAATTGACATAAGTAATGATTTTTGAATGGCACTCTGCATGAAGAAGCTTTCATGCTCCAACCCCATGGCTTCTTAAGTCCTGACAAGTCTCAAGTGAGCAAATTGCATAAGACCCTGTATGTGCTCAAGTAGGCCCCTTGACAGTGGTATGAGAAGTTGTATTAGGCCCTTTTTCAGTTTGGTTTTATGGCTAGTAAGTGTATCAATTAATTATTTGTCTAGTCTCGTAAAGACATTGTTTTATATACACTTGTGTATATCGATGATATTCTACTAACTAGTTCTTCCTTAGTCTTAATCCATGATCTCATTGACAAGCTTCATCCCAATTTTTTTTGTGAAGATGTTGGGAAAACCTGCATACTTTTTTGGTATTAAGGTGATGATCATGCTCAAGAGTCTATGGTGTTGTCTTTGTCCAAGTATATAAAAGATCTATTATTTCGTGCTAACATGCCTAATGTCAATAAAGCTCGAACCCCTCTGCTCAACACACTTAACCTTAACAAATTTGGTCCTAATCTGTTTTCAGATCCTCACCGTTATATGTCCATTATTGGAGCATTGCAGCATGTCACTTTGACACCCCCTGACATCTTCTACAGTGTCAACAAGACATGTCAATTTATTTCTCCACATATTACCTCACACTGGACAACTATTAAACGCGTTCTTAGGTACCTTAGTAGAACTATCTACTATGATCTGACACTTCTTCCTGCCAAACCAGAGTTTCCTGCTTTCGCTTCCTGCTTATAGTGACTGGGAAAGTGATGTGGATTATAGACATTCCACCTCTAATTAATGCATCTTATTTGGGCCAAACTCAGCGGATTGGAGTTCCAAGAAATAGTCTCTTGTCGCCAGATCCAACGCAGAAGCTGAGTATCGTGCATTGACTCACTCCACTTTAGAACTTCTGTGGATTGAGTCCCTACTGAGTGAGCTTCGCATATAGTTCCTTCCTCCCACGCTCCTTTATGATAACCTGAATGTAGTGCATCTCTCTTAGAATCCTATACTCCATGCCTGCACCAAACATGTGGAACTTGATATTCACTTTATTCATTAACGGGTGGCGACTAAAAAGCTTGTAGTCCAACATATTCCTGCCACATTTCAACTTGCTGATATCCTCACCAAGCCTCTCATCTCTATAATTTTTTGTTATCTTCATGGCAAGTTTAAAGTGGGCTCTCCAACCCCCTAAGCTTGAGGGAGAGTATTAGGAATCTAATTAATTGAGATAGTTGAGTTAGTTATAACAATTAGTTTTGAAGTTAGGAGTTAATTAGAAAAGTAGTTATATACAAGAGATAGTTTGTTATCTCATAACCATATTTTCCTCCGGCCTATGTATACTTCCCTTCTACATGTGTAAAGGTTAATTAAATAAATTATTTGAATACTAAAAAAGATAAGAAAATGAATTAGAGATTCTCTTCTTTCAAGCTCAATTTGAGCTTCAACGTTCCAAAATATTAGTGCCTATTTGAATTTGCGTTTAGAGGTATATCCCAAAGCATTTCTACCGTGGAATCAAAGAAGCTACCTTTTGTAACTTTCACATTAACGTGACCTTGCAACGCGGTTTTGACCAACGTAACGTTATATCAGACAGAGAGAAATGCTAATAATACTATCTTTTTAACATTCTCTTTAATACTCACTCTCTCATTAGTTAAAATATGTGTGAATCTCATTAGTTAAAATATGTGTGAATCCTGCCACTTTATGTAAGATCTATTTATAAAATGAGAGATTCACACATATTTCAACCAATAAAAAAGTGAGTGTTGCTAGTACTCCTCATCATAGAGATACTACATATACTAGGTAATGTTTGTGAAAGTTTAAAAACGACATATAAAAAACAGGAAAAAGACTATGTTTCAAGATCTTAATTTGTTAGAACCTATTAAGAATTTAAGTATATTGTCGATGAATGTAGACAGGATTTTAGGAGGATGCAGGTCAGACATTGGACCGTTTGGAAGAACTGCAAAATGGACCTTGCCTCCACACTCATTGGATATCGAAAAATTAAAATACTTTGATAGAAACTCAACGAATTAGATGCGAGACTCAAAAAAATTAGATTAAAATAAGGTTGATAGCTAAAAATAATATACAAAAATACTTATCACATATTTTTGAGGTATGACATTACTTCTCATTTACTTTTCTGGAATACTAAATATTGCTTTTACTGTTTCTATTTATTAATATTAAATTTAAATATACATGATTTAGTCAGATGTTAAATATACGTTATAATCATTAATTACAATGTGTTCAAATATATTTGAAATTTGAAATTAAATAGATAGTAGTAGTTAATTTCAAATTTGAAAAACAAAGTTAATTGTATTTAATTGAAAGTTAATGAATTAGACAGATTCTTATATTCATCAATCATCAACTAAATTGCATTAAATATCTGTTTGAACAACATTAACCATTTTATATTTTGTTAAATTCATTTAGGGTCTGTTTGGTTCAAATGAAGGGGAGGGGAGGGATTTTAATGAAGGGGAGAGGAGGTGAAGGAATTTTTTAATCAAATAAGTGTTTGGTTCAAAAGAGAGGAGGGGAGGGATTTTAATTAAAAATGTGTTTGGTTCAAAAGGGGAGGAGTTTTATTAATAATTTACATTTTTATCCTTATGATCTTATATAAGTCATATGATATTAAAATGTGAAAAATTCGTACGTATTTTTGTTGGTAATAAAATTTCTAATATTGAGTGATTAAAAAAATATTTATTTGTCACATAAAGTTAAAAAAATTAAGTACAATCGATTCGACTTATAACTTTCCAACATAAATTAAACTATATGCCATCGTTTAAATTGTGATGAATCATATAACAAAACAAATATATAAAATAACTTATTACTAAATATTAATGGTTCAAAATATTTAATAAAATGAATAAACAAAAATAAATAAAATGATATGATTTACAATTTGATATAAAAGAAAATATGATAGAATACATAACAAAATTAAAAGAAAAAAACGAATATAACAAAATATAAATTTTTTAATAAAAAAAACACAATGATTATGATTTATATTAATTATAAAAATTATAAAATAATTTGAAGGTGGAGAACAATTATAATAAGTTGATGAAAACAATAGAGAAAAAACAGTAACACAAAAGATAACAAATAATTTTGAAATAATAAAATTAAACTGAGGATATTTTAGTAAATATAATAATTTTTAAATATCAAAACTCATTCCCTCTCCTCCACTCCAAATCCCTCCAATTCGGAGGGAACCAAAAAGTGTGTTTTGGAGGGATTTTGCTCCCCTCTCCTCTCCTCCTAAAATTTGAACCAAACATATTTAATTAAAATTTTCCCCTCCCCTCCTAAAATTTGAACCAAACATATTTAATTAAAATTTTCCCCTCTCCTCCATCTACCCCGAACCAAACACATCCTTAATATTTTTGCGAGGATAACATCATATCCTAGTGCCATTGGCAAAACATGCGTAACACTAATGATGAGTAACACTATTTTTTGTCACAATTATAACAAGTAGTGAACTGTATTCATAAAAGCAAAAGAGAGAGTGTGTATTTATATCATTATTTGAAATGATATCTTTTATGTCAAACAAAAATAGAGAAAACCTCTGCCCAATCTTAAACTGGCTGTATTATTATTTCCAATAGAAACAACCAGTGCATGTGAAAACTAAATCTAACAACTCATTCACAGATATGAGTGGATATGAACAATGAAATGAACAAACAAGCTTGTTTGCAGTTGCAGCAATTTACCAAGCAAAAATTCATGGACAGAATCAGGAACCCCAAATGAGATCATCAAGGGGTCTGTTTATGGAATCTTTCAAGATTGTTATCTGACCATCCTTCACAAGAATATCTTCATCAAGTGCCAATACTTTCAACTTCTGCTCATTAAGCTCTGAGTTTAACAGCATATTCTGCTCCTTAAATTGCGCCACTTCCTTCAACAGCCGTTCTTTCTCCTGCACCGCTTTATGCAACTCTGCTCTCGTGCTTATTAATTTCCCACTAGACTCGTCAAAATTACTTTGAAGACAGTTCATACTCTCATCTTTCTTCAACATCTGATACAGTAGAACAAGAGAATAAACTTTCAAAATACTAATTAAGTAGCCATAAAAAGAAATCTCAATTAGCCGAATTTAATCAATAAATGTCAATACTGGTGACTGACCTGAAGTTCAAGATTCTTCAACTCATGAGACACCATTGAAAGGTTGTCATACGTATTTTGCACCTCAGACCTAAGCATATCGTTTCCCCTTTCTTCTGTTGCAAGTGCAGCTTGCATTTGCTCGACTTGGAGTTCTTTAGAAAACAGTTTTTCTTTTAATAAACTTGTTACCAAGCGTTCTGCTTTAAGCTCAACTCTTAAAATATCCTATAGAAGAAACAACATGTCGCACACACTAAGAGAATTTCGATTAAAAAAAGAAGATAATTTTAAAAGAGGTTAGTGACAATAGTAGAATAGCACATTTAAAATATTATTCCTCTAAAATTCCATTAGAGTACCTCAGATGATTGATCATTCAGTTTAGCTAACATATCATCATCCATACACTCTGACTTGAGATTAAAAGTCAATAGGTTTGATTTTTCTTTCAACAAAGAAGGCATCATCTGCAAATTCCTTGTTAAACCCTCAATGCCGCTTTTGAGTCCATGAATTTTAGTTTCAGATTCAACAATAAATTGCCCATCTAAACCATTTCCAATTACTCCTTTAGCTTTAACGAATTCCATCAACTTAGAAGACAAGTCTGTGCTTGTATTTAGCATTTCTAAGCCTTGATTCTGAAGGCAGCAAATACGGGCACATAGTTCTTTGTCTAATCTATAAGTAGCAGCAATGCATTCTTTCCCATCACCTTTCAACCGGTTTAATAGAGTTATATTTTCTTGCCTTAGGGAATCTTCCTCAAATTTGTGAGATTCCAATTCTTTTCTCAAAGCCAATTCTATTCCTGTTAACCTTATTAACTCCATTTGCATTTTCTTGATATGCTTATCAATGCTCTCCACAGACTGGTTCTTATGAAAGTCCTCACTAAACCCATCTCGTAATCCTATTATTGATTTCTCTTGTTCAGTGCAAGTTCTTCGTAATCTTGTTACACACTTATGCAATTCTTTGCACTCCCTCTCCTTCTCTTCAAAATTTTTTCGAAGGCAGTCCCTGTTTTCCTCAGCTATGTTGCATCTGTCTTGTAGTTCAAAGAGGTTTTGCTGCAAACCCAGATTCTCCCCTTTCATTTTCTCTGCCATACCAGTCAACATCTTGACTTGTTGGTCAGTATGTGCCATTTTACTTTGGCTTTCCGTTTCCCTCTCATTAAAAGAGGAAACTTCCCTTTGAAGTGATACATTCTGCTCCGCAAGCTCTCTAACTCGTTCTCGAAGCCTTTGCTCTTCTAATTGGTACTTCTCAAGTTTAAATGACCAGTCACTTGACCTCCTATCCAATTCCTTCTCCAATGCTAACTGCATCTCATTCTTTTCTTTTTCAAGCCTTTGAATCCGAAGCTCCAGTTCTGTCTTTACACATTTAAGTTCTTCCTTGGCAGATGCTCTGTCAGCAATTTGGGACCTTAGATGGGTTGAAACTTCTAGAGCCAAGTTTATTTTCTCCTCTACCAGGTTCCTGATTGTCTGAATCAGTGTTGTCGCGTCATAACCATAGTCGGGGAAAAAGTTTTCATGCTCCAATTTCTTTGAAAGAAGAATAACTCTCTCCTCAGCTTCCTTTGATCTTCTCATTAGCTCTGCGTCAAGATCTTCTTCAGGTTCATCATAGGTTAAACCCTTACAATTACCATTCATGCCATGATATCCATTGGACATTTTATATGGTTCTTCGAATGAATAGATTTTTGGTGGAGCATCATGAAAATCAGATTCATAGCGTCCATTCACTGATCTAGCATAGATATCTTCAATTGTGATTGGATTATCAACAGAAATATTATTTGAACTCCTTTTAGAAATATCACAAGTTTGAGAAAGTCTCTCAATCACATTTTTTGCAAGAGTTCTTGGAGATTCATGTCCATACCCATTTTCTGCCCAATCTTGGGATGTGGAACGAAGACGGGTAACTCTATCTTCTCTAAATGAATGAGCTCTTGGTTGGTCTTTGACTCCATTAGTTGGTGAATTAGGTGTTGTATGTTGAACTTTTGGAGGTAGCTTCGAGCAATTATTTCCCTGTCTGCTGTTTTTTCTCTGTGAACTGTTCCTGGGTCTATTTTCCTCTAGCTGCTGCTCCCCATCTATGTAACGATCCACAACCATACTTGAAATGTTGCTGGAACAAGTAGAGTTCCCAGATGACTCGTGATGGGATCTTGAAGAACTACTAGCATGCTGCTCACATCCCTGGGAATTTTGGACAGATTGCGTTGGCTTGTCCCGCTTTTCAGAATTTTGATTCTGGCAACTGATGCATATACACAGAAAGTGCAATCAAAATAAAAATAAGCAAAACGTAACTCAAAAATACAATGTTATAAACATCACATTTCATCAATATCATTCTTCAAATTATATTATCGAGTCTCACCGCGAGGAATGCTCAAATTGATGATATGGATCACCAACAATGCTTCTTGAAGGAGATTTAGCTGGATCCTTGAACTGGAACGAAGCTGATGACATCGACCTGCTCCTTCTAAGATTTGGACCATTACTTGAACTTTGACTATCAGCAACTTGCTTTCTAGATTTCTTGTCCTCAGTTTTTCCATGAGCTTGATTATTCACTCCGCTATCTGAAAATACCTCCCAAGACAATTGCTCATTTTTCGACTTAGGCGGAGCCGAGTTATTGCTCCCACCACTAGATGCAGACGATCTGAAAAAGAATAGCTTCTTCATGTGTTGAGTTTTCTCTCTAACCGCTGCCACAAGCTCATCAAAATGTTCACCTTTCCAAGAACCAAAGGACCAAAACTGAAAATAGCTCAGATATCACCAAAACTAACAGAAAAAAAAAACACAATACCTAACAAGACAAAATAGGATTTATACAAACCAAAAAAAAACAAAGCATTCAGCAACATACATTAACTCAAAAATCAAAATCAAAATTAAACAAACACAATGATTGAAAAACTCATGTTATGCCTAACTTTATCCTAGCATCAAAGAGCTTTATCAACATGATTTGATTACTTCCACTAGCTGCTGCTGCTGCTACTACTACTACTACTACTAATACCACTACATCATAAAAACAATCGAAGCAATAAGTACCTCTCTAGGTCAAAATCAACGATTCCATCAAAAATCAACACTAAAATTAAAATTCAGCAACATTCACTAACTCAAAAATCAAAATCAAAATTAAAACTACATAAACCACAATTAAAATTCAGCAACATTCACTAACTCAAAAATCAAAATCAAAATTAAAACTACATAAACCACAATTAAAATTCAGCAACATTCACTAACTCAAAAATCAAAATCAAAATCAAAATTAAAACTACATAAACCACAATTAAAATTAAAACTACATAAACCACAAAATTAAAATTAAGACTACATAAACCACAAATTTAAAATAAAAACAGTAAAATATTATTCTAAATTACAAATAAAAACCTAGAATCAAGGCGATAGTGTTGCAATTTCTTACCTTTTCGGATTTGATTCTGTCTCTAGTAATTCCGATTTCTCAATTTTCCTAATAATAAAAATCGGTCAAAGAAAAATAGATTCTAGAAGCTAGAGAGAGAAAGATAAAGCGAGCGTGACTCACAAGCTTTTAAAACGGTCATAAAAAAACCATTTGAAGAAGAAGATAAAGAGAATAAACCCTAATCTTCAAAGAAACGAAGATTTAAAGATGGAATAATTAATTTAAGAATAAAAAAGAACGTAACTGATAAAAAAAAATTCAGTTGCAGAATATTCAAATCAGAGTATTAAAAACTTACCATAAAGAGAGAGATACTATGAATTGAATTTGATTTATGAAAATTGTGAAAAATGATTTGAACGAGAGAGTATAGTGTGTTTTATGTGTGGGAATTTTCTGAAATGATGAGGGTAATATTGTCAGATAAAAAGTTTAAAAAGTTCTATGCCGCGCGGAATAAGCGGTGCAGGAGCGTTATTTGGATTGGATTATCAAAAGCACTGTATCTTAGGGCCTACAAATTCTGGATTATTTACGTTAATTACTATATTATATATCGATTATGATTAAATATATGTGGTATTAAAAGTGCATTGTATCAGCATCATATCATATAATAGTGAATTTTGTTACTGATACTGTATTTGTCGTATTTGAAATTTTTTGAAAATTTTTGAAAATATTAGTTTTAATTTATTTCATTTTTTTGTATAAAAGGACATTTTTTTATTTTTTAATTTTCACAACTCAGAAGATAAATATCATTTTCACAACTCAGAAGATATATAATAATAATAATAATAATAATAATTTCTTAATTTTTACAACTCAGAAGATAAATATCATTTACACAATCAACTTTGGAAATTAAAGTATGTATACTTTGGATTCCTACATCTAATGAAGAGTTCTCGGCATTTCATAAGCTTCTTTTCCAAAACTTATTTGAAAAATTCCAACATTGTATTTTCGAGATAAAAAGAATTTTTTGAACTATACATTTTCAGTAAATAAAAACACATGATTTAAAGAACGGCTTTTTTTTTAATTAGCTCGAACAACTTAGAAGTATACATAAAAAAATAATAAAAATTAAAGCGAGTTATAATGTTGGCAAACAAGCATTGCTTGGTTAAAATTTTGTTTGAATGGGTTTTTAAAAACTATTTTGTAAATTTATTTTAAAAGAGAGTTTTGAAGAAAAAAATAAAAGAAAATATGTTTAATATTTTCTTTTTAAAATTATATAATATTATAAATTTATCATTTATGAAAAGTGTAGTATTTTTTTTTATTTTTTTCTTCTTTCTAATTTTAAAATAAAAAATTAAAAATAAAAACTTCAAAAAACTATTTGATTTTTTTGATGTTTAAAACTCTCAAATAAAAAATCATTTTTTAATATTAAACTACCGAACAAATTTAATAATTTTAAAATTTTTAAAACAAAAACATAATTTTATAAAACCAGATTAAACATACTTTAATTTGTTGTAAAAAAAAATGGTGAACATGCAAGTCTTGCATTCTTAAAGGCTAAAAATTGTAAAAAAAATTTTACTAATGTATATGCTCGGAAGAAAGAAAAAAACAGACTGGAGCTAACATAGAAGAGAGTGTGAATCTAAAATCTTGATAGTAAAAGAATGTGAATAATGTTGGAATTAAATCCAAAACTTTCAGTAATTTCGACTCAATCTTGATGAACAAGATTCAATTGAATTATTGAATTCCCTCTTGTTCTGCATTCTTCACTCAAGTGAATCAATCAAACTTGATTGTAAGATTGTTCTCTACACAATAACAATGAAAGAAAGAAGATTAGGGTTTGACAGAAATTGGGAAAGAAGATGATGATTTATGCAGTCTTTCTTTGCCGACAACATGTGGAAATTATCGCTAATTTTGCAACTGCAATTGACTATAAGATTCTTACAAAATAAAGTTTACTCTCTCTATTTATAATTGAGTTAGCTTGCTCCATAAGGTAAAGCCCACAAATTACAAAAGCCCAAAATACCTATTTTGGTTTAAGTCGAAATCTTGCGTCAAATAACTTGCTTCGACACTTCGACATCTAACACTACTCGACACACAATACATGTTTCAACACATCCCTTTATGTCGAGCACTACCTGTTCGGCACAAGGAATTACAATTCAATACATCACTTAATTCATTGTGTTTAAGCTATCAATATTCATCATAAACCTTAACTTCTTGAACACTTTGACATGCACTCCCTTCGTCGTGATGTCTGCAATCTAATTCCCAGCTTTGTAGTGTTCCAATTTCAGCTTCACTTCTGCCACCTGCTCTTGAAAATAATGGAACCTTATTTCGATGTGTTTATTTCGTCCATGTGCTATCAGATTCTTCGCCAAATTGATAGCAGACATGTTCTCGATTTTCATGGTAATTGCTCCATGATTCTTCCATGCAATCTCTTCGACCAAGTTTACCATCCACTTTGATTGACATGCATAGAAAGAAGAAGTTATATACTCTGCTTCAAATGACGATAGTGCCACTACTGGTTTCTTTCTTGAATTCCAAGCAACGGGTGCACCACCTAGCACAAACACATAGCCAACTATGGATTTTCTATTCTCAGCATAAATACACCAACTTGAGTCGGTGTATCCCATTAACTTGCATTATTTTCCTTCATCAACTACAGGAAATAAAATGTCATAGTTGACAGTTTCTTTTATATACCTTAGTATCCTCTTCGTCGCTGCTAGGTGTGATACATTTAGCTTCTGCAAGAATCTACTCATCACACCTACATTATATGTTATATCAAGCCTTGTATGACAAAGGTATCAAAGTGATCCAATGAGTCTTCTGTACTGCGTTAGATCAACATCATTTTCATATGTGTCTTTTGAAAGTTGCATTCTGGGCTCAACTGGAGTCGAGGTTGCGTTGCAATCTTGCATCTCAAATCTTTTGAGTATTTCACATACATATCTTCTTTGGTGCATCATCAAACTTCTACCACTCTTGTAGAATTCAACGCCAAGGAAACATGAGAGATTTCCCCAAGTATGACATTTCAAACTCCTCATTTAGGTCATTTTTGAAGTCTTCAATCTCCTTCTTGCAACTTCCTGTTATCAACAGGCCATCGACATAAAGACATAGTATAAGCAGTTCACTGTTGCTTCTTCTTACATATAATTCATACTCAGTTGTGCACTTTACAAATTCATTCTCCCTTAGAAAGCTATCTATCTTATTATTCCAAGCTCTTGGAGCTTGCTTAAGTCCACACAGGGCTTTACGCAGTATGCACACCTATCTTTCTTCACCTTGTTTCACAAACCTAGTTGATGTGCAACATAAATTTCTTCATCAAAGGGACCATTCAGAAATGTACATTTCACATCCATCTGACACATCTGTCAGTTGTTCATGTTTGCTAGTGTCACACACTTTTATTTTTCTTGTCCCAAACATGTGTGCAGTACAAGTGTGCTTAATTCCCAAGTTACCAAGGTTGTGTCAAGTTTATAATGCTTCATGGTTCATTTTTCAGTTAAGGTTTTGTGCAGTTGCAATACAGTTCATATCACAAGTCATAATCTTCTGGTTTCAAGGCATATTCATGTTCATTTGGTTCATAGTTAAAGATTTGGTTTATCAGTATTCAAGTGACAGAGTTCTCATGTTGATTCAAAGCTCCAATTCATTCAAAGTGCAAGGTTGATTTATGGAGTAATTCAAGGTTCTATTCATTTTAAGTGAAAAAAATTCAAGAATGGTAGAATTTGATTTATGAGACCTTTGGATCGAAATTCAAAACTTCAAGTCGTGAATCAAAATCAAGGCTCACATAGTTAAGGTATTTCAATCATAGTTCAAATAATTTAAGAGTGAGGTGCATACAATTTTGGCAAAGTCCATTACATCACTATACATGCTACAAAACTCTACAAAAAAAAGTGATGATATATTGACTCATTTTTAACATTACAGTTTCCAAAGTCCATTTCAAATTACTTCCAAAATCTACTACATGACCCATGAATTACACGCATAAATAAAATTATGCACATTTTACAAGCCTTGTATCAAGCACCACAAAAAATTTCCAACACAAGCAGCCACCTAGCCAACGAGTAATACGCCCCACCCAAGCCAAGGCATAACAATCACAAGCCACAACTTCATACCTCAGGTACGACACATACAAGCTAAAGCCTCGCATACCAACTTCATTGAGCCTACA